TTCACATGGTTTTCATCTTTTTCAGAACGACAAGACAACTCCATAAAACGCAGTACTATACTGCGAATTAATTATTAAATTTTTCTGCAAGACATCAGCTTTTTTCATATGGTTTTCATCTTTTTCAGAACGACAAGATAACTCCATTAAATGCAGTACTATACTGCGAATTAATTATTTTGTCTCGCCTATAAATAACGGGCTCATTGTAGTTATTTTGTATGCTCAAAATTTACTAAAAGCAGATATTTCATTAAAAGTAAGGTTTTTTTTAGTAAAAGCAAATATTTCATTATATGGCTCAACCTCTTCGTCCACCACAATGCTACTGTGGAAAATTATGCATGATGCAAAGTTGTTGGGACGGTGGTGAAGCTGGACGCCACTACTGGCACTGTATGAACCAGTTTTACAAGGTTCCCAGCGAACCTATTTGTGAGTTTGAGGAATGGGTTGATGAACCATGTTATCAGGAATACTACAAAGAAAAACTGTAGTTTCTTCATAATATGTGTTTACGCCAACAGGAAACACAAAGCGAAAGCTATATAATTATTGCAGAAATGAGGGCGAAACTGAAGGAGGTGGGAGAAGAAAAATGGAAAGCACAATGGAATTGTGAAGCACAAAATGAATGTAAAAAAAATATAAACGGGAACTTGCGGAGGTGAAGGCGAAACTGAAAGAGGTAGAAGAAGAAAAAGAACAACTGGAAGAACGATTTAAGTGGTTGGAACGGAGAGTAAATGGCAAACGGGACTAAACATTGGCATGTATGTGTTTAGTGTATTTTTCATATTTCATGCATTTTTATTATGTTGGCCTGCTACGTTTGTGTTTGTGCTGTAGTAATGTTTTCCTTGTTTGTTGTACTAAATTTTATTTTAATTGAAGTGGAAGTTAAGTTTAAGTGCTTGTGTTGTTATATGAAACTATCAAACCACGCTTTACATATTACATTTTCCTGCAATTAAACAGTTTTTCTTCACTCATTCCAGATTGTCGAACATAATTTTATTTGATATATATTGCAACATACACAAGTACAAACACATATTACAAAAAAGAATACCAAAACAAAAGACTAGGGGTATCCATGATAGTTGGGTACATTCGACGAACTTGCACCAGGAGCCGGATTACCACTGCCACGCACACCACCTGAAGTACATTTATGACGGTCGTGTCCTGTTTGCGAGCATATGCCACATTTACGCGCATAAACGGTGTCACCAACACCCATTTGGTTCCGTATACGAGTTCTCTTTTGCACTTGCAGCTTGTGCAAATAGTCCTTGTTACATACCATCTTAAAAGGTTCTGGCGGCCAATAATGCTCAGCACCTAATGGCTGCAACTTCCCACTATACGTGTCTACGTATGCAGCAACACTGTATTGCCTATCAATATAGTTTGTTGCCCCATATCCAACTTGTTGAAAGCACTTCAACGCATGTGCGCACGGCATGTGGTAGATGGTCCATTTTCCACATGAACATAACCTTCTATTTTCATTCACCGTCTGTAGATTATTCCCACGGTGTCCGCGGATAGCGGTCTTAACTTCAAAAACACCCCGTTCATGATCGTACTGAAGAAATGAATGCCACTGTGCTCGCCTCCTGGACCTTTCAAATCTTCTCATGGGTATTGGCATAAATTGAACACCCCAGTCCATCAATGCCGATGCAGCTGCATGCCTTTCAACAAACCTCTCCGCACTCTGTTTGAATGTCATGCGGACCATGGCAGTGACAGGCAATCCACGGGCAGACTTCAACAAGTCGTTTAATGACTCCGACACGTTTGTAGTGAGGGCTCCCCATCGTCTGCCGCCATCAACATGCAATGTCCACATGTGAAGCTCATGTCGCATCAACCAAGTATAGGCTCGTGGATCTATCTGCCGGATCGCTTCCATGCGCCTCGTGAATTTGCACGGCTGGTGCTCAGTTGCAGCCATCCACATTAAGTCATGCAAGGCCTTGTCAGGAAATTTCTTTTGGAAATTGGCCTTCAGGTGCCTCACACAGTAACGGTGGTATGCATATGGTTCCTTCCATTCAGGCAAGTGACGTACAGAACTTAAAATACCACCATGCTGATAAGATATTAGACAAATACCTGAACGCTGTTTGACAACATGCTGCTTCAAGTGGTTTAAAAAATTGTCCACGTCTTTTCGCTTTCGTTGGCACATATGGCAAAAGCTAGTGGAAATATTTGTCTGTTGGCATCAACTGCAACTGCAATCAAAAGCTTAATATCATACTTTCCATAGACATGAGTACCGTCTATGGAAATTACAGGACGACAATGCACAAAACCATCAACTGCTGCTTTAAATGACTAGAACACATAGTTGAAAATATATTCGGGTCTGTCCAGACTCCGCTCACGCCTCCATTCAACAACAGTGCCGGGGTTAAAATGTTGCAGTGCGGCCATGTACCTGGGCAGATTTGAAAAGACTTATCCCAGTCGCCATAAATAAGTTCAAAGGTACGTTTGCGACCGAGATATGCCTTTCTTTTGGTTATAGTACAACCATACTCCTGGTGGACGGGTGTAATACACTCTTTAATCTTGAACCTAATGGACACTTCCAAATATGGAATCAAGACAAGAGAAATCAAGTCCACATCCAAGTTGAAGTGATTATCATTGAATGTATCCATTTCACATCTGTGCTCGCTAATAAATTTACTCACTTTCCACAAACCTGATTTCTTCTTGCTGGCATGCAACATCCAGCTACTACCCATAAACCACCTACGACATACAGCCTTGTATACCTCCGTAGTTGACTCACTTACCGTCATCTCACGGCACTCTCTTATATTGTAGATTTTTACAGCCCTATCTAGGCGAGCATTATCGGGGAAATACATGCCCTTTGTCAGAACAGCTGGTCTAGACTCATCCCACATCGCTGACCGAATTTCGTCATCATCCCTTGTGAGGGCATCCACGTTCGGCATACTTGGCAAATTATCAAGGTAGGGAATATTCCGCTCATGAAATGGCACATGGGACTCGTACACTCTTTGTCTAGCGGGAGGTGGAGGAACATGCTCCCTCGTCAGCTCAGGTTCAACATTCACTTCCTCCTCATCATCACCCTCATCACGGAAGGGTGTGTCATCCCCAGACTCATCCGCATTGTTGTCATAATCACTATCATCTTCCTGACTCTGCGCATCAGCCAAATCACGAGTCAATACGTCGTCTATGGGCAACTGTGTGAGGTCAGGAACATCAAGAAGCTCGTTTTCACTGCACAAAAAGAACAAAATGATAAGTTACCCAACTACATAGATATAGCTATATCAATTTACTTACAAGTCGCACCGTCTTGACGTTTCATGATGGATATTTTCTTGTTGGTGATGACTCCCAGATGGACCACCGTGCTCAATACTCCAGAACTACGCATATTCCAACTAGGGACGGGGTCATAACTTGTAAAATTCATATCCGGACGGTACCCCCTATGAAAAATATAAGTGTTAATACAAATCCAATTAAAACATAAAATAAACATCGCTAAAGCGTAGTAAAATTGAAGTTTACCAGTCGTCTTGTGGATTATATAAAGTCGAAAAATTATTTTGTGGCTGCTCATTCGCCGGTGGTGACAAGTTTAAATCAAGGCAAGCTCTTTCATCACCAATCTGTCCGGCAAAAACTGCTCCAGAATAACCACCCGATGATTGGGGGTTATCCCTACTATGCACGCCCTCATTATTGGGAACGTCTTCCATCTTGACGTAAATTTCCAATAATTTTATTACAATAAATTCCCTGTATTCATCCGGAATCCGCAAAAAATCTCTAAGAGTTTCATCATCCTCGATGTTAAACTCAGAATAATAAGCAAACCCCTGCGGAGTCACTGAATACGGAAACCTACCGGTTACTTTAAGGTTAACCGAACGCTTCCTCACACTCATTTTTTTTACATAACAACGAAACCAATTTATCATACTCCATAGTAAGCGACAATTTAACATGACACTGTGGAGGTGAGCTATACCTCACAGAGTTATTCTCCAGCACAACGTCACCCACCAATATAATGAAACCCTTATTTTTGGCTCTTCAGACATTGTACAAAAATAATTAATAAGAAGAAGAGAGAAGTATGAACGGAATAAAAAAATATTTTTTTAATAATACGCAGTACAATACTGCGAATTAGCTGAAAAAAATATTTTTTTAATAATACGCAATACAATAATGCGAATCACTATTTTTTTAACTGATTTGCAGTACTTTACTGCGAATTACTTTAACGGCTAAAATTCCGTTAAAGTAATTCGCAGTATAGTACTGCGAATTATGTATTGAAGTAACTTTTTTTTTTAGTAGTAAAGACGTGTTTTTTGTCCAAAAAAACATTAAAAAAGTTTCGGACTCCTTACTTTAATGTCTTGAAGTCATGTGTTTATTATCATAGTAGTCTATACAGACCTAAAAGTTAACTAAGGAGTACTAACTGTTAGTAATAATTAATGTCGGAATCAGAAATTCATATTAGGGGATTTAGATAATTACTGGAAAGTCACACCTAGCATTTGAACAGTAACCTAAAGCAATTCTCGAATACTGTACTAAAATATTTCCTAACGTCAAGAGGATTCAACAGTTTATATATAACCATAATCATTCGTTGTTGCCTATTTGCACAATATATTTTTTTGCGGCCAAGGATATTCAACCGAACCCCTTGCCTAAACCTAGTTCCGCGCCCGATGTTATAATTAACATACCTATACGCATATGGTGTTCTGGTAATGATGATGAGCTTACAAAAATAAATGAGGATTCATATCGCCACCTCTAACTTGTTCGAGACTGAGTGTAGTAATTATTGTTGTTATATACATATATGGTATCAAGAAATTTATGGTTCATGATTTAACTCTAGCCTACTATAATATATACGATAACATATTTTGACATTGCTGGCTCAAAGAAAGGAGTGAAGATAAATAAGCTTAGGGAGGCTTACCAGTGCAACCAAAATGTTTAACTCCAAGAGATGAAGATGATAATAAAGGGTAAAAACCAAAGCTGGCTCTGTCCAAAAAGATATGTACAAAAGTCCATATTTCTTGGCTAATTTTCCTGGAAACACACCGAAAGAAAGAATCAGCAATCAAGCAATTCACAGGAGGATCATTTTCTGACTCCATAATTTTCAGCAAAGCTTCCTCAACATGAGCTGAGAAGACATGTAACAAAGCAGCCAGGAATTGGTATGGTTCAATGACCGGGCGAAATTTTACTGGAAGTCCATCAGACACCGTCATATAACGTGTATCTAGCCTGAAACCCTGATAGCTAGAAAATATATCGTCCTGACTATTCTTTTGAGTGATCTGATCGTGTGTAGATTGAGTGTTGATAAAGGTGATAGTGAAGCCTTTTTGTGCAAGCTTGATGGTTAGATGGATTGTGGGAATAACATGGCCTTGTAGTGGACAACATACTAATATTGCATGAGGCTTTGGTCTTGAATCTACCATTTTTGGTATAAATTTTGAACTATAAGCAAATAGAAAATGATACTATATACAAGGAAATGTCATGCAGAATATTATTCTTGCTAAATTGTTAAAAGTTAATTTGTGAAGGATAAGTGTAAGTGAAATTAAATGACCATACCCCAAAATTCATTTTTAGAAAAAAATTTCATTTTGGAAAAAGTTACTTCAGTTTCTATGTAACTTAGGGGTGGGCATCAGTCGGCTCGGTTCGGTTATGAATATTATCGGTTTTGCCCTATCGGTTATCGGTTTACAAATATCATAACCCGATAACCAAACCGATAAGATATTGGTTATCGGGTATCGGTTAATCTGTTATCGATCATTATCGGTTCGGTTATCGGTTTACCCGATAAGATAAAACAACTAAAACAGTTTCGCAATGTATAAAATAGTTTTGGTATAAAACTGTTTTGCTAAAACAGTTTTATGAGATTTTAAGAACTGTTTTGCTAAAACTGTTTTGCTAACACTCTTTTCAGAATTGTTCTATTTTACAAGAATTTAAATTTACTGCAATATCCAATAAAATAAAGACTAACCAAAGTTTCTATCTTTCATTCTTCAACACAAAAAATATAAACAAAAATTCCAATATCAGTCAGTGATGAAAAAACAGAATATTAGTCATATTTTCACTTCGACACTTTCTGCAAATACAAGGGATCTAAATGAATAACAAATACACGACAAATCTCACTTCAACTTTCAAACAAACTAAGAAAAATCCAGAACCAGAATACTTTTAAACAAACTAAGAGAAAGATGAATATGAAGCAACTAAAAACTTACACGAAGAATCAAAATGAAGCTGAAGAATGCGGCTGAGAAATGCGACTGAAGAGTGAAGAAGATGCACTGAAGAATCCGATGGATCTTAGAATAGAAGTGAAGATGCGACTAAAGAGTGAAAGAAAGAAGCTGAGAAATGCGACTGACGCCGGCCTGAGTCTTGACGGGCTGACTGGTGAGGGCGTGAGGCGGAGAAACTGAGAAAGAATAGGGAAATCAAAGTGTGAACTATGAAGTATGAATTATGAAACCCTAGTATGTATATACTTAAGGGTAAACTAGTAAATTAACTAATCCTTATTGGGCTATCGGTTTTACCCAATAAAAGAATTGCCAAACCGAGCCCGAACCGATAACCCAATTAAAAAAAAATTTAACCCGTTACCGAACCGTTAACCCAATAATCCAATATCGATAATCCAATAAATAATTAACGGTTCGGGTTATCAGTTTTACTCGATATATGCCCACCCCTAATGTAACTTATAACTAGAGGAGGCTAAAATATAAGAGTTAATTTCTTAAATAGTTATTCAGTTAATGAAATTGTACAGTAAAGTCACTTAATGAAATTATACGGTAAAGTCACTTAGGCCTCATTTGTTTTTTTAAGATTAAGACGTCTGAATCTGAATACACATTTGAATATCAAGATGTGTATTAAGTTTAAGACATCTGAATCTGAATATACAACTGAATATATTAAGATGTGTATTAAGATCTGAATAGAAATAATTAAGACCGTTTGATTTTTAACATCTGAATATATAAAATTAATCTTTATTTAAAAATTAAAAAACATAAAATCTAAATGAAATAACTAATCTAATATTCTATCAATAAAATATATAGTTTTTTAACATATGATAGTTGTTAGTGGTAGTTTTGGTTGATGATGGTGGTTCATGCTAGTAGCTAGTAGTGGTTGGTAATGGTGGCGATTATGATTGAGGATGGTGGTGGCGTGGTTGGTGATAGTTAATAATGGCGGGTGGTGGTAGTAGTTGTGGCTGAGGAAGGTGGTGGGTTGGTGGTGGTAGGTTGTAATGATGGGCAGTGTTGGTTGTGGTTGTTGATGGTGATGGGGTGGTCAGTTGTGGTAGTTGAGGTGGATGAATGTTGATTGTGGGGGAGAATGATGGTGGTCGGAGTGGTGGGGATAGTGGGTGGTGATGGTCGATAATGGTGGTGGCTATGATTGAGGATGATGNTACTAAAATGTAAAATAATTTAAATCTTAATATTCTATCAAATTAAAATATTATTAGGTTTTTTAACATATGAGTAGTTGTTGGTGGTGATGGCTAACGGGTGAATGCCGACTAGAGGCGGTGGTTGGTGGTAGTTTTGGTTGATGATGGTGGTTTATGCTAGTAGTTAGTAGTTATTGGTAGTGGTGGCGATTATGATTGAGGATGGTGGTGGCGTGGTTGGTGATAGTTAATAATGGCGGGTGGTGGTAGTAATTGTGACCGAGGAAGGTGGTGGGTTAGTGGTGGTAGGTTGTAATGATGGGCAGTGTCGGCTGTGGTTGTTGATGGTGGTGGGGTGGTCAGTTGTGGTAGTTGAGGTGGATGAGTGTTGATTGTGGCGTAGAATGATGGTGGTCGGAGTGGTGGGATAGTGGCTGGTGATGGTCGATAATGGTGGCGGCTATGATTGAGGATGATGGTGGCCTGGTGGTGATAGAGGTGGTGGTGGTGGTGGTGGTGGTGGTATTTGAGTATGGTGGCAGCGGCGGCATGGTGGTAGTTGATAATGATAGGCGGTGACGGCAGTTAATAATGAATATGTGATATCATCTTAATGAAATTAAGTCTCTATTATAGATCTTAATCATACAGACTTATTCAGACCCCTTAAGTGGTTGTAAAGTAAAAAAAAAAACAAACACACTTAATGATTAATATCTGAATAATTAAAATTCAGATTTTAAAAACAAACGCACTTAATGTCTGAGATCTGAATGATTAAGATTCAGATTTCCATTAAGTGCAAACAAATGAGGACTTACTCCCTCCATTTAAATCTATTTGAACTTTTTTCAAGTACGAGGAATTCTTTAAGTTTTTTGAAATAAAATTTACATATTTAGAAATTATATAAAAAATATTATAAGTTACAATAGTTAACATTTAAAAATATTTAAAACTTATTTATTAAAAATATGATTAAAAAAATCTTATTTCACTCCCCAAATATAATAGATTCATTCTTTTAAAATGAAGGGAGTATCTTTTTTCTTTCTTGTAACAATAAAATCATCCAATTATTTAAGAGTATATCAAAAAATTACTAATTTATGAAAGTATACATAGCCACGTGCTGACGTGCATAGGGTATCGAAAAATATTCTCAGTTTCTTAATTCAAAGTCATAACTCATAAGACAACGAAGTCAAGGAAACGTATTTAAACAATAAAACTAAAACAAATTATCTTGTGTTTTTCCATTTTTTTACCTTGTTGGAAATTTAAGAAATTATGGCTGAATTAACCATCACATATTTATTTATTATGTATAAGTTCACTTTAATTCTCAAGATTATCCTAGAGAAGGTTTTGCTTTTGTTCCTTTTTCTTTTTCCTCTTATTATTTCGTAATAATCCCAACAGAAATGTTGTTACCAAATGACATAATACCCATATTGAGCTATACTAAAAGACATTTTTTCAAACATCAAGTTTTTGTATTTTACTTCTATATAGCCATATTCAGCTACTCAATAGTTTTCATATGTATTTTTTTTTTACAGAAAAAGGTACTTACATTATATCATAAGATAGGTAGGGCTAACGCCCGATAACATTGTCGTTAGTACATATGCCATCATAATCTAAAATTATGCCTTTTAAGGCACAATCATTTCCTAGAGCAACCATACGACCACATTGGTCACTAGAACAGTTTCTAGCATAAACATACCCAACCTCATCCTTATCATATACATCTATAACAAGTTCAGGTGGCAAAATAAAAGTACATAATTTGTCCCTCGAATCGGCCTCTACGCGCGTCGAATCTATCCAAAATCAGAACGAGGGCATCAAAATATGCTAAGGGAACAAAGCCCAAGCGAAAAGAATCAATAAAGGGCACAAATCTCGAAATTACCAAAACCCGACCCCCGGGCCCACGTCTCGAAATTCAGAAATTTTTCCACCAACGGGTTCCTTATCTCCCCACGAGTTCATACATATTACAAATACTAAAATCGGAGTCCAAATAACCCCTCAAATCCCCATTTAGAGGCCTCTTAAACTCAAGCCCTAATCCTCTATTTTTAGCCCTTTAATTCCTTTAATTACAGCCTTAATCCATGAAATACTACCATAGAAATGTGTTTTAGGTCCGAAGTCCTTACCTTAACGAAGTCTCTTGATTTCTCTCTTCAGAATCGCCCAAAAAGCTCCATGGTCGAAGTCAAAAATGGTGAAATAACCCAAACTCTCTAAGTGAAATAACATATATGCTCTGCCCAGGCCTTTTCCACATCTGCGGTCAAAAATCCGCTTCTGCGGTACCGCATTTGCGGTCTAAACCTCCGCTTCTGCGGAAATCACTTAAGGGACCAAACCGCTTCTACGACTAAACTCCCGCATCTGCGACATCGCAGATGCGGTCCCCATACCGCTTCTGCGGTCTCTGCCCATCTGACCCCTTTTCGCTTCTGCGACCAAATATCCGCTTATGCGGCGCCGCACCTGCGGTCCCCAAGCCGCAGGTACGAAAATACCAGAAGCAACAATATCAGATGCTGCCACAAAATTCCAACCTCTCCGTTGACCACCCGAAATCACCCCGAGGCCCCCGGGACCTCAACCAAAAGCACAAACATATCCCAATACCTTATTCAAATTTTTTCCAATCATCAAAACACTTCAAACAACACTAAATCAACCAAAACACGTCGGATTCAAGCCTTAGTTTATAAAATCTTCCGAATTCCGCTTTTGATCAAAAATCCAACCAAAACACGTCCGAATAACCTGAAATTTTGCACACACATCCCAAATGACACAACGAAGCTATTGCCACTCTCGAAATTCCATTCCGACCCTCATATCAAAATCTCGCCTACCAACCGGAAATCGCCAAAATCTCAATTTCGCCAATTCAAGCCTAAACCTTCCACGGACTTCCAAAATGCATTCCGATCACGCTCCTAAATCCCAAATCACCTAACG